GCCGCACCACAATGCGGATGCATAAATGTCACCGCGTGGCAGGACAATTGAACGAGGATGATGGTCCTCGTTCCGCCACGTGGCTGTCAGCCTGCGACATCGGCTCGAGTCTGACCGAAGGGGAGGAGGCCCTGAGCCGGTTCAGATAGTCGTCACCGATGTTGGCCGTGAATGCGAATCGAACTTGGGTCTCCGGGTTCGTAGCGCAAAAACAAAGACGCAGGCATACAGACAAAACAAACATACACCGCGAGAGAGACGCGCGCGCACACAAGGGACAAAGATCCCCCGTTTAGCCTTCACAGACTGTTGGGGCAAGTGCTGTTAGCGAGCACCTATGAAGGCCGGCACGGCACAGGAAGGGGTGGGTGACCAGCACCACGCGCGGCCGCCTTTGTCTCCCTAGTGGCGATGTTTACACACCGCATCAGCTTCTCTATTGAGACTGAGACGTCCTAGGGGAGGCCCAGAAGCGGTTCAAATATTCGCCACCGCTGTTGGCCGTGAATGGGAGTAGAACGTAGGTCGCCGGGTTCGTAGCGTTAAAGCGCGCCAACCACGACACTACCGCTCCCACGCCCCCACCACACATACACGCGTACGCACCACACCTCACGCACAAATCGCGCCGTTAGCCACGAGCGAACAGCTCTCGTCCATGCACTGGGGCAGCGGCGACTCGCGATGGGGTGGCAAGGGTTGAGGAGGCGTGTGGCCGGTGCGGTGCAGACCTGTACGGGGGCGGGTGGGTGGGGGGGGTGGCCGGGCCCAAGTCGACAGTGGGGGGACGCGTGGGACGGCGCCACAGAGTTCGAGAAGGGAGCTCTGGCCCAGGTGCGGGGCGCGACGCGGCCACGCGGCTACGCCGGGGACGCGAGCCGACGCCGTCGCCTCGGCTACCGCCTCGACGCCCGAGGCGGGAGCTGAGTGATGGCGCGCCGATCGCTGGCCCAGCCACAACGGATCCCACTCGGAGGGTGCGATTCCGGCGAGGGAAGACTGAGCGAGAGAGCAACACGTGCGAGTGTGCCCGTGTTGCTCTCCGTGCGCATACGCGGTGCTTGCGTTGTGCGCACGGCTCCGTAATCACGCTTCTGTTATCGTCGCCGAGTCTCGCGGCTCTTTTCTTTCAGGAGGGTCCTGCCCGGTTTTCGCAGAATGGTACGGGCGATGTGTTGCCGTGTACCGTTGAGTCCAATTGAGACCTTTGTGGGGAAACATTTTTCTCTCAAATTTGGCACGTTTGGACCATGGCGCCCGCACACAATGTCCCATTCTCGCGAACGACGCCATTGAATCAGGAACGTCCATGATTTGGTGAATACACGCTGCGGTATTAGCCAGGGCGGCCGTTGTTATTGAACCGCGAACCTCCGCAAAGGAGCAGTGGACGCGCTATAAAGACACGTGCATGCACACTCACGCGTCATAGAGACACGTGCATGCACACTCACGCTCCATAGCGACACGTGCATGCACACTCACGCTCCATAGAGGCACGTGCATGCACACTCACGCGTTATAGAGACACGTACATGCACACTCACACGTCATAGAGACACGTACATGCACACTCACGTGTTATAGAGACACGTACATGCACACTCACACGTCATGAAGACACGTACATGCACACTCACTTTCCATAGAGACACGTACATGCACAGTCGCGTTATAGAGACACGTGCATGCACACTCACGCGTTATAGAGATACGTACATGCACACTCACGCTCCATAGAGACACGTACATGCACACTCACGCTCCATAGAGACACGTACATGGATACTCACGCGTTATAGAGACACGTACATGCATACTCACGCGTTATAGAGCCACGTACATGCACACTCACTTTCCATAGAGACACGTGCATGCACACTCACGCGTTAAAGAGACTCGTACATGCACACTCACGCTCCATAGAGACACGTACATGCATACTCACTCGTTATAGAGACACGTACATGCATACTCACGCGTTATAGAAACACGTACATGCACACTCACTTTCCATAGAGACACGTACATGCACAGTCGCGTTATAGAGACACGTGCATGCACACTCACGCGTTATAGAGACACATACATGCACACTCAGGCTCCATAGAGACACGTATATGCATACTCACGCGTTATAGAGACGCGTACATGCACACTCACGCGTTATAGAGACGCGTACATGCACACTCACGCGTTATAGAGACACGTGCATGCACACTCACGCGTCATAGAGACACGTGCATGCACACTCACGCGTTATAGAGACACGTACATGCATACTCACGCTCCATAGAGACACGTACATGCACACTCACGCGTTATAGAGACACGTACATGCACACTCACGCGTTATAGAGACACGTACATGCACACTCACGCGTTATAGAGACACGTACATGCACACTCACACATCATAGAGACACGTACATGCACACTCACAAGTCATAGAGACACGTACATGCACACTCACTTTCCATAGAGACACGTACATGCACAGTCGCGTTATAGAGACACGTACATGCACACTCACGCGTTATAGAGACACGTACATGCATACTCACGCGTTATAGAGACACGTACATGTATACTCACGCGTTATAGAGACACGTACATGTATACTCACGCGTTATAGAGACGCGTACATGCACACTCACGCGTCATAGAGACACGTGCATGCACACTCACGCGTTATAGAGACACGTACATGCACACTCACGCGTTATAGAGACACGTACATGCATACTCACGCTCCATAGAGCCACGTACATGCACACTCACGCGCCATAGAGACACGTACATGCACACTCACGCGTCATAGAGACACGTACATGCACACTCACGCGTTATAGAGACACGTACATGCATATTCACGCGTCATAGAGACACGTACATGCATACTCACGCTCCATAGAGACACGTACATGCACACTCACGCGTTATAGAGACACGTACATGCACACTCACGCGTTATAGAGACACGTACATGCATACTCACGCGTTATAGAGACACGTACATGCATACTCACGCTCCATAGAGACACGTACATGCACACTCACGCGTTATAGAGACACGTACATGCACACTCACGCCTCATAGAGACACGTACATGCACACTCACGCGTCATAGAGACACGTACATGCATACTCACGCTCCATAGAGACACGTACATGCACACTCACGCGTTATAGAGACACGTACATGCACACTCAACGCCCATCTATCGCCTGACCCTTATTGCCAATCCACTGCTTAATGAGGGCTTCCAAGCGCCGTGTGGGCCATGTGGAGGGGGTATTATATGACCATACTTCACCACGCTGGTCAGTGCCAAGTTGGTAACGGTGGGGAGCATATACGTGTGAGCATAGAAGTGCAGTGTAGCGTAGAGCAATGGGATGTTGCTGCCTTGCCCTCTGCTGCCCTCCCACCTCGTCAGCAGCAGTAGCAGCAGCAGACACCAGTGGCGACCTCTTTTGCATCGTGGCATCTCATCCAAGCACTGTCTAGGCTCAAGCCAGCTTCGTCTTGCGAGGTCACACACGAGAGAGGGCCCATTCCGGGTGATTTGGCCATCGGCTGCACTTGTACGGCACTTTGCTCACGGGTTCGTGCGCGTGCACATATGCACTCGACGTGACACACACACACATCACTATCTTCATGCTAACCGTAGCGCCACCAATCCACACGAGTAATCCTGTTTACTCTACGAAATGAAACATCCACGCGTTCGAGGGGACACCGGTTAACGATTTGAGCACACTTGTGGAATATTCAGGCATTTGAGTCGGGGGTCAGCGTGCTCCTGCGCACTTTGCCGAACGTGCAGAACGTCGCTTGCCTTGCGTTCTGAGCTCCCCCCAAACATCCCGAAGGCACTTCAGGCGAATCGACCCTCAGGTGTTTATTCGGTATCAGTTTACCCCGGCCGCATTGGCCATCACCACGATGCGCGCTCACGTGACCCACGGGCCATCTCTGCCGACACGCGCGTGCGTGCGCGTGGTGTGGAGCGGCGGGGTAGTGGTTGGCGCACTGAGCTAAGTAACCCAGCGACGCGAGCTCGATGACCAATCCCGACCAGTAAATACTGGCGAATATTTGAATTGCTTCTGGGGCGCTGTTGGTCACAGCATTTCGCTAACAATGGCACTCGGCCAAACAGGCTGCAGTTGGCTCATAGGAGGGGCGGGAGGGGGATCTTTGTCTTTCGTGTTTGGGGACGGGTTGAGGAGAGAGCCGGGGGTCACCGAGTCTGCGAGGCGCAATGCGCACGGATCTGTCCTGGGATGCGCTCAGCGCGCCCCGTGACCTCCCTCCCCCCCGGCCCCGCCCCTCCACCCACCCCCACCTCCTCGGCGTGAGATGAAAGAGCAGCGGGCTGTGAAATAAACTTGGCGTGAAAAGGCGATGCTTCTGCTGCTGTACGGGCGGTAGGGTCACCTTGATCCGAAACGAGTCTGGACCATTCCTCCCGGCTTGCTTTCTCTCTCTCTCTGCGAGCCACTGATGGCTGCCGATATATTTGAGACTTGGGCTGCTTTTGTATAATTCGGAGCGTGCTTTTTCGGAATGTGCTTTTCTCGGATAAGATTGTGACATCCCCACGGCACCGTGCCGGAGGTGATGAACGCCTCGGGAATCGATACCGAGGCTTGCGGTGTTGTGCATTGATTGACGGTGTCTCATGGCAGATCTTCCCATGCACATCTTTGCACTGCCCTACGAACCCAGCTACCTCGGTTTCCAATGCCAGCCACGGCCACAATATCAGTGGCGAGTCGTATCGCACATTATCCCTGTCCTCCCCATCGGTCAACTCAGCTTCATACTGAGTACGTGCAGCGATGGACGAGCATCATAATTGAGGAGACAACGGCGGATGTCGTTCTGGCGCGGTGCCGCTGACCGCCGCCCTGTCGCCGCGTGCGCGGCTCAAACCCTCGCGCCCGCATGGCTACACGTGCGCGTGTTGTTGTTGTTGTGTGAATGTAGAGCTCCATGAACCTGCCTCCGGACAAGGCCAAGGCTCTGCATCAGTACGAGGACGAGAAGAAGTGGGAGCTGGTCTGCGACCAGGTGCTCCCCCCCCCCCCACCACCGCCTCCCTCCGCGATTATCGAATACAATGTGCGCGTGCAGCCCGGTGCTCATCCACTGCTGGATGAGGGTCTCCCCACACCGTGCGGGTCGTAAGATCGTACTTCATCGTACTTCATGACCACGCTGGTCCGTGCCGTTGAGCCAGGACAGTACTTGGATGGGCAACCACCAGATATATTATGCGCGCAATGCGATGTTCGGTGGAGTTAGTCTAGGCCAGGGGTGGAGTGGTGGCGCGGTGATTTGCACAATGCGTTCTGAACACAGCAAACTTGAGTTGAATAATCGGCTACGGCTGACGCCTGCGACGAGTATCTGAACGTTCCATGCCCACCTGCCCCGCCCCCGCCGCTACCCCCACCTCTTCATCAACCCGCACTGACCATCGTGGTGTATCATGGGTAACACCCACGAGCGATACGGTCTTCATCCAGCAGTGGATTGTCAAAGGGCCGAAAATTAAGGTGTCATGTCACCACGAATGTCTGAATGTAAATGCCTTGAGTGTCGACGCCTCCCCTTGTACACTCCCCTCCCTCTCCGCTCCCCTCCCTCTGTGCTCCCCTCCCCCTCCCCTCCCTCTCCCCTCCCTCTCCGCTCCCCTCCCTCTCCCCTCCCTCTGCGCTCCCTCTGCGCTCCCCTCCCTCTCCCCTCCCTCTCCGCTCCCCTCCCCTCCTTCTCCACTCCCCTCCCTCCTCCCTCTCCGCTCCCCTCCCTCTCCCCTCCCCTCCCTCTCCGCTCCCCTCCCTCTGCGCTCCATCCCTGTGTGCGTAGGAGCGATTCCAGGTTAAGTCCGCCCCCCACGCATGCCTCGCGCAGCTCAAAGTGCACCTCAACGCGGGCCTCGCGCGCAAGGTGAGGACAATGGGGGGGGTGGTCGTGGGGGGCCCTTCAGGAACGCACAGGGGCACGGACTCCTTCAACAGAGCCCTGGTCACGAGGGAGACTTTGTGTGGTCGTGAGGGGGTGGCGGACAAACGGGCGGGTTCCCCTTTAGCACAGTGGGGGACACAGCGGCACAGTCCCCCCCCCCCCACCGATAAGGGGGGGGGGGGCTCTTGCGGCTTTGGGGATACCCCTCAGAGGATACAAACGGTCCCGGTTTAATTGATGCCGCGTTGTCTCACACCTCACTGGCGGTCGGAAGCCACGTGACACGCGGGGTTGTTCGAATGTGACAGCTCGCACAGATCCCAATTAAACGTGACATTTGCCTTTAAATGTCCCTCGTCCTTGAACGCGACGCGCGTGACTCCATCTGCGACAAGGCAGGGCTTCGATTCTCTCCGAATCGTTGCCGGGCAGCTGGTGGACTCGATGCGGCAGAGTGGGATCAGGTAGCCACCGCCACGGCGAGAAGGGACATTCGATACCGTGTACCGGGTGTGGACATGTTTTTTTTTACTTCCGTTCTCGCATACCCCTAACGAACTCCCCCCCCCCAGCCGCCCCCCGCTGATGAACGCGCAGCCGATGAAATTGACCGAATTTCCCTGCCCTCCCCCCACCCCTCCCAACTTCGATTTGACGGAAAACGTCCAGAGCTTTTCATCCCCCTAAGTGGAGGGAGATTCGTTACCTGAGCCCTGGGCGTGGGGGGAGTTCGTGTCGGCGGCTCCACACGGAGCGCCGCTCTCACAGATTGGGTTCGATCTGGGCGTAAGTCACCACGGTGGGGGGGGTGGGAAGGGTGGGGGTCACTCCCTGGGGGGGGGGGGGGGCTGTTCCCTTCCCCCAGGGCGGACAAACGGAGAGACGGAAACATTTATTCAAAACAAGGTAAGTGCTTCATAGCGCGGTGGTGCGATGGTTCGCACACTGTTCTACGAACCACTGCCACCTGATTTTGAATCCAATGCACGACGATCATCAGTGGCGAGCGTGGTAAATGAACCGGCCCTGCTATAGCCCCCCCCTGCCCTAACTGACCAGCATGGTCAAGTATGGTCAACCAACCCCGACGACCATCCCGGCCTCGGCAGGTTTACAGCACATCCACACAGGGCTGCGGACGATATTGTTATTGCCAATGATTATTCCTCCCCACACCACGTGCCCTGATAGGATCTCATGCCGGGGTCACTGGGGGGGTCACTGTTTAAGACTATATGGGGTGCCTGGGATGCACGATGATCCCTCTCGTATTTAGCCCTTAACAGGGATGATGATGATGATGATCGTGATGAGTGATTCACTCTCTCTCTCTCCCCGGCAGTTCAAGAGGCGCGTGCAGGAGTCCACGCTGGTCTTGCGTGAGATCGAGATCTCCCTGCGGACCAATCACATCGGGTGCGACTCCGGAGCTGTGCCGCCTGATTACTGCTGTGGCCCGCTATTGATGCAGCTGTGGTGGCTGCGTCTGCTTAGCCTGCTGTTGCTGCTGTTGCGTTTGTGCTCTCGGAAACGCATGCTGCCGCTGTGGCTCCTATCGCTGCTATTGCTGCTGCTGTTGCAGTTTCCTCTGTTCGTGTTGCTGCTTTTAACGATGCCTCTGTTACTGCTGCTTCGCTTGTACTGCAGCTGTTTTCGCTCACGCTGTTGCGACTCTGGTTCATATCGCCGCTCGTCTTTTCCGATATTAAGAAGCCAACCTGAGCGATGCACTTTTAAATCTAAATTGGAAACTCATTTCCTGAGAACTGCTATTTTGCGTTCGGTTTGCGGTGTGCTGTCCTTCCCTTCCCCCCGCACCTCCGAATCGCACGGTTGGCTACGTACGGTGCAAACGAAGTGCAACAAACATTCACGCACGCGGCGTTCGCTTCACGAGGGGGAGCTGCTGACCCCCCTTCCCCGCCTTCTGCCAGTTGCCGAAACAGTTGAACGATCGACTCACGCAGTCTCCACAACGTCCTCTCATCTATGGAGTGTACCCCAAATTATTGTGAAGTCCTCGCATCAACACTGGGTGCACCCCCCCGCACCCCCCAGGTGGCTGCACGAGTTCCTGAACGAAGAGAACCGGGGACTCGATGTGCTCGTGGACTACCTCCACTACGCGCAGTGCTCGGGCACGTGAGTCGCCCCCTCCCGTCCCTGCGACCCCGAGCGCCCCCCCCCCCCCTACACTCGCACCCAACGTCGACGTTGCCACGAGCAATCACGAGATACCACACCATTCGCACCCCTCCTCTCATTATCATCATCATCATCACCTCCGTCGTCATCGGTCTACCACTGGATGAAGATATCCCCCGAACCCGTCACCACCAATCTGGGTCTCGCGGCGTAACGATCCATCTTGACTCCTGCGCGCGACATGGATTCGTCGCTCCGTCTCCTGCGGTGGTTGCATCCCACCCGGGGGAGTGTTCACTTCTCCGTTGGTGATGCTAGTGACAAGGATGATGATGATGATGATGACGATACTGACAATGATGACGATGTGTGCAGCTATGACACGGACGGTCCGGACACGTGGGATAGCGCTAGCTCCCTGGAGAGGCCGAGGGCTGGAGGCGGCTCCAGCGCGGAGGCAGAGAGCGGAGCGGCGAACGCGGCCAGGCAGCTCACGCTAAGGCACGCGCACGCGCACAGACACAGCTCCCCCGTGTCGTCCTTTAACAGGCTGTTGGGACAGGTGCTCTGCGCACCTGTGAACACCGACACAGCTTACAAAGCTTATAGCCACCTTCGTCTCTGTAGTAGGCGATGTTTACACATTGCACCAGGTACTCATTTGAGGCCGAGTCGACCTCGGGGTTAGCCCAAGACCGGTGCAGATAATCGTCCCTGTTGTTGTTGTTGTGCCGGCGGGTTCGTAGCGCGGCGCGCTAGCCGCTGCCCCCGTGCGATCTCGCAACGAGACGCACGCACGGACACGACGAGCGACCGCGTCGCAATTAGCGCGCGCGATCGAGCCAGACCGGAACGCCGCTGGCGGCGCGGGCAGCGTGCGCCGCCCCACTAAGCCCTCTTTAGTGACTCCGGCGAGAGCCGAGCCGAACGCATTAACGCCAAGTGGCGGATCCGTCGTCCCCTGGGTCGATTCCCCATCCGCTCGTTCCAGGCACAGCTCCATGAGCAGGCGGCGGACATCCCGCGCAAGGGCGCTGACCCCCGTGAGCCAAGACGACGTTCACGTGTGCATCATGTGCCTGCGGGCCATTATGAACTACCAGGTGAGCGCTAGGGTGAACTACCAGGTTTTAGAGAGGGTGAACTACTAGGTGAGTGACATAGTGAACTACCAGGTGAGTGGCAGCGTGAACTACCAGGTGAGTGGCAAGGTGAACTGCCAGGTGAGGGGCAAGGTGAACTACCACGTGAGTGGCAGAGTGAACTACCAGATGAGTGGCAGAGTGAACTACCAGGTGAGCGGCAGGGTGAACTACCAGGTGAGTGGCATAGTGAACTACCAGGTGAGTGGCAGAGTGAACTACCAGGTGAGTGGCAGTGTGAACTACCATGTGAGTGACATCGTGAACTACCAGGTGAGTGGCAGAGTGAACTACCAGGTGAGCGGCAGAGTGAACTACCAGGTGAGAGGCAAAGTTAACTTCCAGGTGAGTGGCAGTGTGAACTACCAGGTGAGTGGCATAGTGAACTACCAGGTGAGTGGCAGGGTGAACTACCAGGTGTGTGGCAGAGTGAACTACCAGGTGAGTGGCAGTGTCAACTACCATGTGAGTGACATCGTGAACTACCAGGTGAGTGGCAGTGTGAACTACCAGGTGAGTGGCAGAGAACTACCAGGTGAGTGGCAGAGAACTACCAGGTGAGAGGCAAAGTTAACTTCCAGGTGAGTGGTAGTGTGAACTACCAGGTGAGTGGCAGCGTCAACTACCAGGTGAGTGGCAGAATGAACTACCAGGTGAGTGGCAAAGTGAACTACCAGGTAAGTAGCAAGGTGAACTACCAGGTGAGTGGCAAGGTGAACTATCAGGTGAGTGGCAGAGTGAACTACCAGGTGAGTGGCAGAGTGAACTACAAGGTGAGTGGCAGAGTGAACTACCAGGTGAGTGGCAGAGTGAACTACCAGGTGAGGGGCAAAGTGAACTACCAGGTGAGTGGCAGAGTGAACTACCAGGTGAATGGCAGGATGAACTACCAGGTGAGTGGCAGGATGAACTACCAGGTGAGTGGCAGAGTGAACTACCAGATGAGCGGCAGGGTGAACTACCAGGTGAGCGGCATAGTGAACTACCAGGTGAGTGGCAAGTTGAACTACCAGGTGAGTGGCAGAGTGAACTACCAGGTGAATTGCAGGGTGAACTACCAGGTGAGTGGCAGAGTGAACTACCAGGTGAGTGGCAGAGTGAACTACAAGGTGAGTGGCATGGTGAATTACCAGGTGAGGGGCAAGGTGAACTACCAGGTGAGTGGCAAGGTGAACTACCAGGTGAGTGGCAGAGTGAACTACCAGGTGAATGGCAGGGTGAACTACCAGGTGAGTGGCAGAGTGAACGACCAGGTGAGTGGCAGAGTGAACTACCAGGTGAGCGGCAGGGTGAACTACCAGGTGAGTGGCAGAGTGAACTACCAGGTGAGTGGCAGAGTGAACTACCAGGTGAGGGGCAAGGTGAACTACCAGGTGAGTGGCAGGATGAACTACCAGGTGAGTGGCAGAGTGAACTACCAGGTGAGCGGCAGGGTGAACTACCAGGTGAGCGGCATAGTGAACTACCAGGTGAGTGGCAAGTTGAACTACCAGGTGAGTGGCAGAGTGAACTACCAGGTGAATTGCAGGGTGAACTACCAGGTGAGTGGCAGAGTGAACTACCAGGTGAGTGGCAGAGTGAACTACAAGGTGAGTGGCATGGTGAATTACCAGGTGAGGGGCAAGGTGAACTACCAGGTGAGTGGCAGAGTGAACTACCAGGTGAATGGCAGGGTGAACTACCAGGTGAGTGGCAGAGTGAACGACCAGGTGAGTGGCAGAGTGAACTACCAGGTGAGCGGCAGGGTGAACTACCAGGTGAGTGGCATAGCTAACTACCAGGTGAGTGGCAAGTTGAACTACCAGGTGAGTGGCAGAGTGAACTACCAGGTGAATGGCAGGGTGAACTACCAGGTGAGTGGCAGAGTCAACTACCAGGTGAGTGGCAGAGTGAACTACCAGGTGAGCGGCAGGGTGAACTACCAGGTGTGTGGCAGAGTGAACTACCAGGCGAGTGGCAGAGTGCCAGTTGAGTGGCAGAGTGAACTACCAGTTGAGTTGCAGAGTGAACTACCAGGTGAGCGGCATAGTTAACTACCAGGAGAGTGACATCGTGAACTACCAGGTGAGTGGCAGAGTGAACTACCAGGTGATTGGCAAGGTGAACCACCAGGTGAGTGGCAGAGTGAACTACCAGGTGAGTGGCAGTGTGAACTGCCATGTGAGTGGCAGAGTGAACTACCAGGTGATTGGCAGAGTGAACTACCAGGTAAGTTGCAGAGTGAACTACCAGGTGAGTTGCAGAGTGAACTACCAGGTGAGTGGCAGTGTAAACTACCAGGTGAGTGGCAGAGTGAACTACCAGGTGAGTGGCAGAGTGAACTACCAGGTGAGTGGCAAGGTGAACTACCAGGTGAGTGGCAGCGTCAACTACCAGGTGAGAGGCAGTGTGAACTACCAGGTGAGTGGTAGAGTGAACTACCAGGTGAGTGGCAGAGTGAACTACCAGGTGAGTGGCAGGGTGAACCACCAGGTGAGTGGCAGAGTGAACTACCAGGTGAGTGGCAGCGTGAACTACCAGGTGAGTTGCAGAGTGAACTATCAGGTGAGTGGCACGTTGAACTACCAGGTCAGCACTTCTGCATTTACTAATCCTCGCATGACGCCTGGTGCGCCTCTGGGGGACTGCGTTCTGGGTGAGTGAGTGGGGGTTTGAAATATATAAATCGGTCCTGGACCTTTCCTAGGCCGACTCAGCCTCAAATGAGTACCTGGAGCACTGTGTGAACATCGCCACTAGGGAGACAAAGGCGGTCGCGCGTGGTGCTGGCGACTCACCCCGTTGCGATTGCAAATACGATGGCGCACTTGCCCCACTAGTCTGTCGAGGCTATGGGGGGGGGGGGGGGTCTTTGTCTCCACTGATTTGTAACCGAGAGCGTTGGTTTTGTTCTCTCCTTGCCCCAGACCATTTAGTCTCCCGCGCAGCCGTAAATTCTTTTGAGGGGACACAGTGCATTTAACAGATTAGTGACTTCATGTCCGCGTCCTTAATCACCGTGCAAGCTCCGATTTTGCCGTCAAACCGGTCGGGGTTTGTTTAGAAACAGGGCGCTAAATGCGCGCGCCGAGCAACGAATGTCGTGGGAATCTCTTTGTCGATGTACGCAAAACACCGCGGCTCGAAAATTCGAACGGGGCCCACCGATTCCTCCGCATTTTTGTACTTCTGGCCGAGCGCTTCCCTCGGCGGTTCGCGCTGCAGGGCGCGCCGCTCAGGGCTTGAATGCCGTGCGCCGCAAAGCCACAACTCGAACAGAGTTCGCGTTGCGAGTCACCCCCAGGCCGCGGCGATGTCCGTCTGGGGCCGTTTCCCCACGAGGCGTCCCACGCGTTCCGCAGCGGCTCCCGCCCGCGCAATGCGGCTGCGAGCTTTGGCCTTTGACCCGACTGCCAGTGCCGTTTTAGAGACGAGCAGCGCGGTGGGTAACGAACGCAGCGACCCTGGGCCGGACGCAGAGAGAGGAGGGAGAGAGGAGGGAGAGCCAAAATGCTGTGGGAGGCCCGGAGCAAAATGCCAAATGAGGTCCACTCGGCCTTCCCTGAGACCCGGGGCGAGCTGCCTCACCTGCCCCTTCCGCCTCCCCCGTCCCTCTGTGGCCACGACAGAGAGAGAGAGGGAGAGAGACGAGTCTGTGTGTTGCCCGCAGTACGGATTCAACATGGTGATGGAGCACGCGAGCTGCGTGAACGAGGTGGCGCTGAGTCTCAACAACAGGAACCCCCGGTAGGAGACCCCCCACCCTCCCTCCCCCTCCCTCCCACCCGGCGCGCGCACAGCGCGGTCGGTGAGGTAGCGCGGTCGGTGAGGTAGCGCGGTCGGTGAGGTAGCGCGGTCGGTGAGGTAGCGCGGTCGGTGAGGTAGCGCGGTCGCCACGGGCCGCGGTGCAAATCATTCAATGGGGCGGGGTGGGGGGGAGGGCAAAATTGCCCCCCGCGGGCCCCGCTGCAGGTGCCCGGCACTGCGCACTCACTCGCTGCGCCACGCAGCGAGTGAGTGCGCAGTGCCGGGCTTGTGGTGGTCGTGTGGTGGTCGTGTGGTGGTCTTGTGGTGGTCGTGTGATGGTCTTGTGGTGGTCGTGTGGTGGTCTTGTGGTGGTCTTGTGGTGGTCGTGTGGTGGTTTTGTGGTGGTCGTGTGGTGGTCTTGTGGTGGTCGTGTGATGGTCTTGTGGTGGTCGTGTGGTGGTCGTGTGGTGGTCGTGTGGTGGTCGTGTGGTGGTCTTGTGGTGGTCGTGTGGTGGTCTTGTGGTGGTCTTGTGGTGGTCTTGTGGTGGTCGTGTGGTGGTTTTGTGGTGGTCGTGTGGTGGTCGTGTGGTGGTCTTGTGGTGGTCGTGTGATGGTCTTGTGGTGGTCGTGTGGTGGTCTTGTGGTGGTCTTGTGGTGGTCTTGTGGTGGTCGTGTGGTGGTTTTGTGGTGGTCGTGTGGTGGTCGTGTGGTGGTCTTGTGGTGGTCGTGTGGTGGACTTGTGGTGGTCTTGTGGTGGTCTTGTGGTGGTCGTGTGGTGGTCGTGTGATGGTCGTGTGGTGGTCGTGTGGTGGTCGAGGTGATGGTGGTGGTGGTGGTGGTGATGATGCTGTTCGGTTGGGCTTGCAACGATCCAGCGAGTCATGGAGTACATTAAAATATTTTTTTCGTGGGTTAGATCGCGTAAATATAATTGTTTCGGTACTCGAATTTGTAAATGTCGTGGGTTTACTCTCCAACACACCGGTGGGCTGAACTAGTAACAACTTGGCATGCCTTGTTTACGTGACAAACCTTACTCATTGGCTGTGTCGGGTGGTGGTGGCGGCGGGTTTAACGACGCATGGATATTTACGCGATCTAACCCGAAAAGATCGTCTATTATGGAGAAGACAAGGAAGCAGTGCAGTACAGACCGGGCGTGCATTGTAGGCAGTTGCACACAGTGCTCGTTAGGCAGGCGATGCGAACTAGAACAGCAGCACGTGTGTGAGAGGTGCGCTTCTTGGTAGCTGGGTAAGAGAGTCGTGTTGTTCCAAGTCGTTTCCAAAGGGGGGGGGGGGGGTGGTTGAGAGAACAGAGTAGGAATAAGCAGGGCAGAGTGAATCATCGCACTCTATAGAGAGAGAGAGAGGCACAGTGAAGGGGAAGGTGTTGCGTACAAGGTCGCACTTGTCACACACAAAGTGCTTGCCACCAATGAACCACAATACCTCGCTGCTGATCTCGTCAAGGACCATAAACCATCATCACGCAAACTCTGCTCATCATTTTTGCAGCAGCAGCAGGGACTTTTGGCGAAGCGTCGACCAAAGACGGTCAACTGGATCGCGCACTTTCAGTTGCGCTTCTGCGGCCGTCCGGAACGTTCTTCCTTCGGATATTAGGAAGCTACTGGAGCTATGCACTTTAAAATCATCTAGATTGAAAGCTCATTTGTTTAGAACTTCGTGTGTTTAGTTTGTTGTCCTTCCCGCCGAACCTCCGATTAGCACGGTTAGCTTCCTACGGTGCGAAAGAAGTTCAACATACAGACACACGAGCATGGACTTCAACAAGGAGGCAGAGAGTCTAAGGGAGTTGCATAACTCAAGGGCAGCAGCAGAGAAGGAGCGACCTCCCATTGAGCGAGGGGTTACCCGGAGGTTTTCCGCAGTGACGCGCTTTGCTGGAGCGGAGCACATTCTCCAGCAAACGCAAGTGGTGTTGGTCTTGAACGATCTGAAGAGGATCTTAAAAGATCACGATAGCATGTCTTTGGCGCGCAGAGCGGAGTCATTAATGCAGTAAAGGGAGGGATCGAGTGGCGCGCGTTGATCATTAATGGATGCGCGCGTCTGGGGGAGAGATGGCCGCAAGCACCGCGGAGACTGAACGCAGCAGCTCTGGCTGAGTCCTCGCGTCCCCGCCTGCATACTTCAGCGTCCCCCCCTCCACTCGCCCCCACCCCCCCACGGACCTCCTCCTCCACGCACCCCCCTCCCCCACGCACCCCTCCCCCACGCACCCCTCCCCCACGCACCCCTACCCCACGCACCCCTCCCCCACGCACCCCCCCACGCACACCTACCCCACGCACCCCCTCCCCCACGCACCCCTCCCCCACGCACCCCCTCCCCCACGCACTGCCATCCCCCACGCACCCCCTCCCCCACGCCCCCCCCACGCCCCCTCCTCCCCCACGCACCCTCCTCCCCCACGCACCCTCCTCCCCCACGCACCCTCCTCCCCCACGCACCCTCCTCCCCCACGCACCCCCTCCCCCACGCACCCTCCTCCCCCACGCACCCCTCCCCCACGCACCCCTCCCCCACGCACCCCCTCCCCCACGCACCCCCCTCCACGCACCCCCCTCCACGCACCCCCTCCCCCACGCACCCCTCCCCACGCACCCCTCCCCCACGCACCCCCTCCCCCACGCACCCCCTCCCCCACGCACCCCCCTCCACGCACCCCTCCCCCACGCACCCCCTCCCCCACGCACCCTCCTCCCCCCCACGCACTGCCATCCCCCACGCACCCCCTCCACACACCCTCCTCCCCCACGCACCCCCTCCCCCACGCACCCCCTCCCCCACGCACCCCCTCCCCCACGCACCCCCTCCCCCACGCACCCCCTCCCCCACGCACTGCCCTCCCCCACGTACCCCACACGAGCAACGGGACCCCCAGCGTTGGGTCCGACCACACGCGAGCACAGTGAGGAAGTGGCGAGGAGATGGGCAGCTAATGAGGAGTCTCGATTTAAAGCTTTCGTGACTGCAAGGATTCATCTTCTTTGGTTCTTTCGGTAAAGTCACGTAGAATGAGAATAAAATAATAAATTGATCAGATAAAATAACACAATAATATTCTCACGACGTTTCGGCCACAACACAAGCGGCCTTCATCAGGTGAAGGGACGAGACTGTCTGGAGGACAGCGCTGGAGTGAAAAAGCCACGCTCAGATCACGACCTTTAAGCTGTGTGAGAAGAAACAAAGCGCCTTGACAAAGGAATTAGCATATAATTTAGCATTGAAATGGCTGAGTGATTAGCTTGTGACTGGTCACAGAAATGGCTATGTGTATGCTTTTGGCCATGTTTTTGTTTATTGTAGTACGGAGTTAGACTGATGGCCTTAATCTTAGTTGTCTTGTGGTTGTTGTTGTTGTTGTTATTTGACTTGCATCCCACTGGGATTATTGCACACAGCGTTGGTGTACGGTGCTATTTTAGGAGTATTTTGATATTTTTTTCCTTGATTTTCTGTTTGCACAGTCACCATAGTCACTTTAAGATGTTTGTCTTGTTCATGTTTTTTGTTTGTTGCGGTTGCACCCGATTCAAGAGCCGAATGGCTCACAGGGCTATACCAAATAAATGAACTATGAACTATCTATACAGCGCAGAACACTGACTTACTGCGCCAACCTCCGTGATATTGGGCTAACACCGTCACGGGGGGGGGGGTCGTCACGGGGGGGAGGGGGGGTCGTCACGGGGGGGTCGTCACGGGGGGGGAGGGGTCGTCACGGGGGGGAGGGGGGGGTCGTCACGGGGGGGGAGGGGGAGGGGTCGTCACGGCGCGCGCTGTCGCCCAATAAAACCGCGGCAAGCCCCGGCTTCTTGAAGTGGCGGCCCAGAGCGGCTGAGCGCCGCCAATGCCGCGGGGAGGAGAAACCTCGCGCGGGGAGGGAGAGGGGCGAGCGCCCTCCGGGTCTTGCGTCGATGCGCTTTGAGGAGTCGCGAGGGGGGTTCGTCACGGCGACGGGAGCCGCGGCGTCTGTGTGTGAACACGTGGTTTGTTCACAGCGGTTACAGCCACCAACTGAACCGGTCCTGGGCCTCCCCTAGGTCGACTCAGCCTCAAATTAGTACCTGGTGCGGTGTGTAAACCACATCGCCACCGGGGATACAAAGGTGGCCGAGCGTGGTACTGGCCACCCCACCCCCCTTGTGTATAGTGTCGGCTTTCATAGGTTATCGCTAAAAGCGCGTGGCCCAACAGTATGTAGAGGCTATACAGGAGATCTTTGTTTATGCACAACGTGTGCATTCACATCTGTGTTGACGTGAGTGCGTACGCGTTTGTGTTGGTGGTGTTTGGGCAGCGGTCGTGCAGTGATTAAAGTGCACTGCGCTATGAACCCGGTGACCCACGTTTGATTCCCGCTCACGGCCACCAACATCAGTGACAATTACCTGAACCGGTCCTGGGCCTCCCCTAGGTCGACTCAGCCTCAACTGATTTTAGGGTTTGATGTGTAAACATGAGAACAGGGCAGCCAAAGACGGCCGGACGTGGTGTTGGCCACCTACCCCCTCGTGTGCCGTGGGGGTCCATCGTGAGCCCTCTCTAACAGCACTTGCCACAGCAGTCTATTGAAGGCTTTACGGGGATATTTGTATGTTGTATCTATGTCTGCCTGTTCGTCCGTCGACGTGTGTGTAACGTGCCAACACCAGTGACGAGTATCTGAACCGGTCCTAGGACACTCCTAGTTCGACTCAGCCTCAAATGAGTACCTGGTGTATAGATCGCTACTAGGGAGACAAAGGCGGCCGGGCGTAGTGTTGGCTACCCACCCCTTCGTATGCAGTGCCGGCCTTCATAGGTGCTCGCTAACAGCGTGCCGTCTCTGTGTGTCCCTGTCCCACGAGCCGTCTCTGTGTGTCTCTGTGTGTCTCTGTCCCACGAGTCGTCTCTGTGTCTCTCTATCCCACGAGCCGTCTCTGTGTGTCCCTGTCCCACGAGCCGTCTCTGTGTGTCTCTGTGTGTCTCTGTCCCACGAGCCGTCTCTGTCTGTCTCTGTCCCACGAGCCGTCTCTGTGTGTCTCTGTCCCACGAGCCGTCTCTGTGTGTCTCTGTCCCACGAGCCGTCTCTGTGTGTCTCTGTCCCACGAGCCGTCTCTGTTGTCCGCCCCGACAGGACCAAGGCTCTGGTCCTGGAGCTGCTTGCCGCCGTCTGTCTGGTCATGGGAGGCCACGATAAGATCCTCGCTGCCTTTGACAACTTCAAAGAGGTGACAGGACCCTGCCTCGCTCGCTGCTCGTTTCCATGCACGCGATCGGTGTGAGAATTGTAATTCGCCATCACGCCAAGACGCGCACCACAGCTGAAACGCGCACCAACACTGCTTTAATTTCACTTTAATTTAAGCCACTGGTTGGATATTCCACCAATGGACGAGCGAACAAATACGCGTGCGTCCGTACGATTGCACTTGGAAATGTAGGTTAATCCGCTTGTGAGCGAGTCTGCTGGCGCGGGGCAGAAATCGACCTCCCAGCAGCTCTGCCAGAGGAGGCGATCAATGATTAATCTTGGCCCTGAGCAAGGGCAGTGCTGTCGGGTGAACAAGCGTCTCGCCCCGTCACCCCCCCCCCCCCACCACCTTCCCGGGAGCAGCGGGTACAGGGGGCATCTGCCGCTTATGCTCCCACCGCTGGACTCTAAAGCTCAACTCAGCTTTTTATTTCACCACGTAGTTCTTGTTCATAAGCGACCTGGCCACTTCAGATGATAGCTCGACGAAGTGGGGCATCATGTGGAGAAAATGTTGGCAGCCAAATACTGTAAAGCGCGTGTTCATAAATGTGGAGGGAAAAATGAGGAGGACCTGGAGAAAAATCCGCGCAACCACGGGGAGAACATATAAACTACTCATTGGTTTTTTCGGTAAAGTCACGTATGTAGAAATACAATAAAATTATATTTTAAAAAAACAATCACGACGTTTCGATCACAACGCAAGCGATCTTCATCAGGTGTCAATAACAAATCACGGAGGTAAATACAACAAAAAGATGAGAGACGAGAATTCAACAAACCTGAAAAAACATTATGTGAAGCACATCCAGTCAGGCCAACAACACAGTTAGACACTTCCTGGCGGACCACGAATTTCAGAAGAGTGTTAAATTTCGTGTTCAACCTTTGGATTGCACATACCAGCATAGATAGAATGAAAAATACTAGGTACACGGTCGGTAGAAATACATATACAAGTCCACCAAGAGGTAAGGAGGGAGGAAAGACGGACAGGGAGGCAGAGAGAGAGGGGGGGGGGGGCGGAGGGATGAACAGAAGCTTAAATAGGAAATACGGTTGGAGGGGGGGAGGGGCCAGAGCGAGAGCGGCAGCTAAAAAACACGCAACATCCTACACATACAAAACGGCAGCTCAAAAAAGGACCACCTCTTGTTAATACAAAACGGCAGCTCAAAAAAGGACCACCTCTTGTAAATACAAAACGGCAGCTCAAAAAATGACCACCTCTTGTTAATACAAAACGGCAGCTCAAAAAAGGACCACCTCTTGTAAATACAAAACGGCAGCTCAAAAAATGACCACCTCTTGTAAATACAAAACGGCAGCTCAAAAAAGGGCACATCTTACACATAATTACAACGGCAACTTCCCTGTAGAAGTGTGATAATAAAGTATTACAGCTTTCGTGACTGCATAAAATTACTCATTGTTTTTTTTCGGTAAAGTCACGTATGTAAACTCCAAATATGCACGTGTCAAGGTTGGAATCGAACTCAACGACCTCCTGTACACCGGGCAAGGTAGTTAACATCTCGCCACCGTGGCGCCCCCAGAGGTCAAAGTCAATTCCGTCTATGCCACGTGATTCCATATCTCGTCATTCAATCGTTTTGTTCCTTTATGTTCTTAAAGTCACTTTCGAGTACCCCCCCCCCCCCCCCCCCCCCACCTTAACGAAGCGTCGTTGAGAACTCCGTGCCAGACAGCACGGGAACGCAAGTCCTGGGTGTGAGTAGCTACGAGAAAATAGCCGCTTGTGTTTTGTGGGTTCCAAATTCTCTTGGAATAAGCTCATGGAGATGGGGAGTTAATTTCAGAGACGTTTTCCGGGGAATGAGTAAAAAAGCAGACGGTCGTTCACCACTGGATGCTCCACCCTTTGAAGCTGTTTTCAACTACGGAGTGTCCATTGGGGATACAACGGGGCTGCCCAAAGCTTCCTGAGACCACGTGGGCCTACGTGGGGCTACTCGAGGCTGTGACGAGGCGAGGGCAGTAGTGTGGGCAGGTGAAGGTGTGTGCCCCCCGTGGTAAGCTGTCCTGCCCCAGCCACCCCAACACCCCCTTGCGTCCCACAGGTGTGCGCGGAGAGGTATCGATTTGAGAAGCTCATGGAGTACTTCAGGATCGACGACACCAAGGTGGACTTCATGGTGAGTGTGCTCGGGATGGACTCGTGGTGAGTTTACCGCGGTGCGAGGAATTCGCTTCGGGCGAAGCGAGGAGCGATTGAACACGAAGAGGAGGTGTGGAGGAGATGAAGCAACGGGGGGCTAAGCGTCCAAGGCTGCGTGGGTTTAGGATAAGCGGTGGTGTGACGGACAGTGTTAGGATCTGAGTGTGTCAGTGGCTCAAGGCTTAGGAAGGATAGGGTTATGACCATGGTTTGGGTGTGATTGTCTCGTGTGGTCAGGGCTGTGGTTAAGGTGTCAGTGGATAAGTTGGTTCGGGTTGTGGTTGGGGTCTGATTGACTCCCGTGCTCCACTGACGAACTGTGTGCTCCTGCGCTCCGCGGCGGGTTCACAGCCCCCTCTGTCGGCCATTCTCAAGAGACGCCGCTCTTCTCTTTCTCGCACCCTGCCTCCAACCCGCACACCTGCGCAGGTGGCGTGCATGCAGTTCATCAACATCGTGGTGCACTCCGTGGAGGACATGAACTTCCGCGTGCACCTGCAGTACGAGTTCACTCACCTGGGGCTGGACGGTTACCTGGAGGCACGCGCGCTCCTCTCTCTCCCGTCTCACCTCTCACTTCCGTCTCACCTCTCCCTCCCGTCTCACCTTTATTTAAACTGCAGGAGGAATCATATGAGCTATGAAGCTCTTTTTCACGGATGTGCAGTATGGGCTGGTCAGCATTTATACACGCCACCGTCGTTATAAACCACTGATGTGTACCTTTTCATCGCCACCACCACCACCACCGCGCTGCTCCTGTCCGACCGCCGCCAACGCGTGCAGAGGTTGAAGAACACGGAGAGCGAGCGGCTCCAGGTGCAGATCCAGGCGTACCTGGACAATGTGTTCGACGTGGGCTCCCTGCTGGAGGACGCCGACACCAAGACGGCCGCGCTGGAGCGCGTGGGCGAGCTCGAGGAGCAGCTGGGCATTGTGAGTCTCGAGAGGGAGAGAGGGACGCCTGACTGGTGCCCGCGGAGCCAGCGGTGTGACCGCAGCGCGTGGCGCAGGACGAGTTGCCCGAGGAGGGCTCTCTGATGTGGTCGCGTCGTGAACGACTGCGCGGGCTGTGGTCTTGTGCACGGTTGAAGGAAAAAGAAAAAAATAATCGGCACGTTCTCCATTGGAGCTGCATCGTGATGGAAATGAGACCTCGACTTGCCCCTTCCATTCCTGTGCTCTGCCCTCTTTTTGGTTTTGTCACGTTGGTCACTCTTGCAAGATGAGACTCCTATCCCGATTATTGTTAATTCTCGCCCGGATAAACAAAATAAACTTGAAATTCCAACTTGAACCCTGGATGCGTCCGGGCGTTGCAAATCTTGAAAGCTAAGCAGCCTACAGAGCCTGGTTGGTACTCGTGAGGCTGGAGCCACGCGTGGCTCCGCTCTCCGTGGTGACGCGTAGTCCCGCTCTCGCGTCCCCAGGCCCGCGGGAGACTGCGGGACACGGAGGACGAGGCCCTGGTGCGGATCGTGGACTTGGAGCAGCAGCTCTGCAGGGCCAACGAGCAGCTGGTGGCCAGCAAGGTAGGGCTCTGCGGAGGCCACGGGAGTGACCTCAGAGGGCATATAGGAAGGGAGCAACGGGGAAGGACACCAGAGACGTACTCAAGCACCATAGGTGTGACCCCAACTCCAACGGGCCCTGGCCACTCCAGGGGGCCCCAGCAGCTCTGCCTGTACCCTGCCCCCCTCTACCCCGATTGACCCCTCCCCCCCACCACCCCCCCGCCCCCCCCCCCCCCCCCCCAATTCCTTCCAGGAGCTGAACCGGGAGATGAGCTGCCGCGTCGTGCAGCTGGAGCAGCGGCTCAAAGAGACCGAGGCGGCTCCTGGGCCCCCCGCTGTGAGGACGAAGGGGGCTCCCGACTGCAGGCCTGCATCTGCGACCCAGGGCCCAAGGCCACCAGCGTCCCCGACGCCCGCATCCCAGGACGGTGCGGCCCCGGGATGCATCCACGCGCGAGGGGTTAGCCGAAACTCCTGGACGTCTGTGAAAAGGAGTTTCGCGTCTCGTGGGATTCCTCCACTCCAAATCAATATCCTGATTCCAATGTGTCGCGCTTCGTGAGACGAGAGCTGCTGCTGTCTCGAGGCGCTGGCGACGCGGCGCGCTCTCGGCCGCTGCGTTAACTCGAGCGTTGGCGCGGCACTCATTTTCGTTGGCACACCTGCGTCAGTCGTGGAAACTTTCACATTTAAAGTCAAAACTCGTGTTTGTTTTACCAGGGAAGGCCCATCGAGCTCTACTGTATAGCTCTTTTAACAGAAAGCGATCTGGCCGCTAATGATCGCTGAGAGCGAAGTGGCTCATCACGGTGAAATGTATCGCAGCCAAATACTCTAAAGGCGTGCTTTGTTATGATTTTAAATGCCGAGGGAAAAACCGGAGGACCCGGTGAAAATTCCACGCGACCACGGGGAGAACACACAAACTCCAAATATGCAGGCATCGTCAGGCACTGGATCAAACCCACCACCTCCTGTATACCAGGCGAGGTAGTTAACACCTCACCACCGTGGCACATTTCCTATGGCAGGACCACTCGCTCCGTAGAACCCCCACTGCTTCCATCCCAACCCCCTCTCCCCGTGGTGCTAAGGCCGCCTCCTCTCCCCAACCCCCCAGAGCCCGGTGCAGGAGTTGCTGCCCCGTCAGGCAGAGGCCGGACACCTCCGGCAGGGGGCGCCGCGGCTCCGCCTGAGCCGTCGGCCCTCGGCTCCTGCGCCCGGGAGTCGGGGCCCCTTCCTGCCCACGAGCAGCCCGCGGGCGAGCCGCCGGCGGAGCCCCCGGCAGGGCCCCCACCGCCTCCGCCGCTACCACCTCCTCCTCCGCCTCCTCCTCCGCCACCCGGAGCACCGCCACCGCCAGGGACGGCGACGGAAGCGAGAGGTGCGCTCGTGAATTGGGCGTCGTCGCTCAGCAGCGTTCCAACCGGCAGCATCGGTCCGCCGTCCACCCGTCGAGCCGCAACCTCTGCCCGTCGGTCGATTCACCCATCCATTTGCTCCGCGTAGCTCCATCCATCCACCCGTGCATTGTAAATCAATCCGTCAATCATCCATCCTTCCACCCAGATATGTCTTCATCAATCCGTCCACCGTACGAATCCACGGACAGGCATAGACATGCGGCGATTGTGAATTGAGGATGATGATGATGGTGGCCGTGGTGACGATATGATTCAGCTACACTAGATCATCACAAGGTCCGCAGTGAACTTATATGAGCTTCCATGCAGACGGACATTTACAAATCCCGCGATTTCCGCGTGTGGTTAAATTCCATCGCAATGCGTCCATCGCGTCTAATGCGCTGCGTGTGCGCGCGTGCGCGCGTGTTTGTGCGCGTGCGTGCGTGATTGTGCGCGTGCGTGTTTGTGCGTGCGTGATTGTGCGCGTGCGTGTTTGTGCGTGCGCGTGATGCGGCCCCCTCCCCCCTTGCCCTCTGAGCTGCCCGCGCTGCAGCGCCCCGCGTCAAGACGGCCGTGGTGCCGCGGTTCCGCATGCCGGCCTTCAACTGGGCCGCGCTGCAGCTGGCGCAGATCCACGGCACAGTCTTCCACGAGCTGGATGACGAGAGGGTCCTGCAGGTGCCGAGACGGCCACCCCCGCCTCTACCCCCCCACCCCCCAAACAAATGCGCACACCATGTGCAGCAAGTATGGCGTGCACAGTATGTGAGATGGATGGGTGGAGGGGGGGGTGGGTACTCGTGCGTTAACTGGTGAAAGCTCACACGTCCATCTACTAAATTACTCGTCCAGTCACCCAACTCGTGCACCCACTCAACCAGACACGCACTCAGCCACTCGCGCAACCACTCAACCGGACACCCACTCGTTCGCTGATCTTCTCACTCACGCGGTAATCTATTAACCTTCTCAACCACTTACTCACACGTCCGTCTACCCGCCCACTCACGAATCCATTAACCTCAACACCTCACTCATTCAATCGCTTATTTACTTGATCACTCACTCACTGATATGCTCACCTACACCCCCCCCCCCCCCCACCCCCAATCTCTTACCGATGCCATACGCCGGCACGGACAGGAGCTGAACATGAGCGAGTTTGAGGACCTGTTCAAGACGCGCGCCCAGGGCGGACCCACGCGGTCGCCGTGCCGCGCCGCCGCGACGCGCTCCCCAAGCCGCCGTCTCGTCGTCATGGACTCGCACCGCGCCAAGAACCTCGCCATCACGTTGCGCCGCGCGGGCCTCCCTGACGGAGACGTCGTCACCTGCATAGAGAAGTGCGTCCGCCCCGCCGTTGTGTCCCCTGGACAGCTCGTGCACGCCTGGCGCGTGGCCGGATCTTTGTCTCGGTTTGTGTGTGGCTTAAACAGCGACTGGGACCGTCTGGCTCGATGACCTCAAACCTGTTTTGTGTCCGATTTAACAAGGTTGGCTGCGTACGGTGGAAAATAAGTTCAGCATGCATGCACAATTGCGTACCCGGCGCACCATATGTGGTTCGCCTCTCGCTCGCTGTGGCTGTGGCTACGAGACCCATGCCTCCGCCAGTCTGCCACGTGTAGCCCCAACTCGCGCTCCTTCCCGTTGTGCGTTCGCGCTGCAGCAACGGGTTCGTTAAGCGGTGTCCATATTCAGCTTCTCCGCTCTGACCGCCGGTTGCCGTTCGGCGCGCGGCACCGCGAGAGAGACACCGAGACCCCGACGCATCGCGTTCATGACCCGCGACTCCCGACTCTGACCCCGACCGCCACCCTGACCCCGTGGTCGCAGACTGCACGTGGGCCGCCTGCCGCTGGACTTCGTGGAGAGCCTGACCCGCCTGGTGCCCACGGAGGTGGAGGGCCGCCGCCTGCGCCAGTACGAGCGCGAGGGGCGGCCCCTCGGGGCGCTGCCGCCCGAAGAGCGCTTCATGCTGCGCCTGAGCGCCGTGGCGCGCCTCCCGCAGCGCCTCGCCGCGCTCGCCTTCATGGGCAACTTCTCCGACAGCGCCTCGCGTCTCCTGCCGGTCTTTGTCTCTCTCTCCCTCCCCGTGTCCATCGGAGGGCGGGGGGGTCATAGGGGTCCTGGGGGGCTCAAGACGTAACACGCATGCCGTAGCCGCTTCCCGCTCCACCAACCCAAAAACACGAACGTCCCTTGACTTGAACGTAAACTCATCGGTTTTGACATCGACTGCGCTTTGATAATTGTTATGATTCACGTTTATTCAGCCAGGAAACCCGCGCTGTGTGCTTCGGGAGCATGCTGCCAGGCTTCACGGTAGTGCACAATGTTACCAATCGCGTGAGACCTTCTGCTGGTCCAGTGGCAGTTGTTGAGCAAAGCCTGACTGCTGATGAGACCCAGAAGGTTGAAACTGGTTCAGAGTTTTTTGCTCGCTTAAAATCCTCTGAGGATATTGGTTCGTCAATCCAATTGAGCCGATGGAACTAAAACATACTTGAATGCGGAGGCACGGGACGCCAAGCTCCCGCTCGTGGTTGCTCTTATTACGTGGACATGTATAGCAGCCAGATACTCCAGACGCAGAGAGTGTTTGGGGGCTCACAAATTCCCTTGGTTGGCAACGCGTTGACGCGGCTCCGCACGCCCCGCGTTGCCCAATCAGAGCGCGGGCACGCAGGAGTGCTCAGCTCTACCGCACTCATGCCACATCCCTGCACGTGCTGTTCTCACGGACCTCTCCAGTACCCACTTAGTACGGCTAAAATGCTTGCAGTGATGGGAAAAATAATGCCGTTTGTGGGCTGTTACGAAGCCTTCCAGATATGCCCCTGGAATCGTGCTGGCTCTCCAATACGAGTTTGAAGCCCGGCTATTTAGAACAAAATACTTTAAAACCACGGCGAGGCACGCAAACGTGTGCTTGGAAGTCTCGCAAATCTCTATGTGATCCACCGACCCTTGCCTCCAATGCGCTGGAGCAGAGATATGGCACCACGCACCTTCACCTGGCGCGCACCTGGCATCTCCCGTGTTCCATTTGGTTGTGTTCCAGCACACTAGTGTTCATTCTCTTACATCACTGGCCCTGTGTCTGCTTCTGGTCCGTCACACGTGTTCTGTGTGTGCATCTGTGTCCGCCCGCATCTCCCGAATCCTCAGCAACTCAACGCAGTCATCGCGGCGTCTCTGTCCCTGAAGTCGTCGCAGAAGCTCAAGAAGATACTCGAGGTCCGTCTCGCTCTCTCTCTCTCACCGCAGCGCTCCTCATCCCACACTCCTAACCCCCCGCTCATTCCCCGCTCACCCCACACCTCTAACCCACTCTCGCCCCACTCCCACATCGGCCGCAACTATTGCAGATCGTCCTGGCCTTTGGGAACTACATGAACGGCAGCCGGAGAGGAGCCGCTTACGGATTCAAGCTCAACAGCCTCGACCTGGTGAGGGAGTCGAACTGGAACACGTAAGGTCGTGGCCACGTGGGGGACCTTGGATGGGGGGTGACCTGGCGACTCGCCGGCCTTAATTTAACTCAGATCCCGACACGAACTCCCTGACTCGAGTTTAATCCCCAGCCACGGTTCACATCAGTAGCGAGTGATATCCGAACCGATCCTGGGCCTCACCCACGAAGACTCATCCTTAAATGACTACCTGGAGCATTGGGGACACATTTGCGGTCGAGCTTGGTGCTGACCTTACCACCTCCGTACACCTTTCAAGCCTCAATAGATGCTCGCTCACAGCACTTGCCCCAACATACCGATATGGCTCCACACGGGATCTGTGTGTGTGTATGTTCGTTGCTCATGTATCCATGTACTTTGTGTCCGTATGTGTGTACACGTGTCCATGTGTCCGTGTGTGTACGCATGACCATGTGTATATGCGCGTTCGTGTACCGATGTCCGTGCGTGTGTGTACGCGAGCCTGTGTGTCCATGTATATGTGGCCATGTGTGTGTACGCGTGTCCATGTACGCGTGTCCGTGTGTCCATGTACGCGTGTCCGTACGTGTGTTCGCGTGTCCGTGTGTCCATGTACGCGTGTCCGTGTGTCAATGCACGCGTGTCCGTGTGTCCATGTACGCGTGTCCGTGTGTCCATGTACGCGTGTCCGTACGTGTGTTCGCGTGTCCGTGCCCGAGTGCTGCTGAAGCTGCTGGACACCAAGTCCACGGACCGCTCCCGCACGCTGCTGCAGTATCTGACGCGCGTGGTGCGCGAGCACTACCCTGAGCTCAGCGCCTTCCACGCAGAGCTCCAGTACCTGGACAAGGCGGCCTCAGGTGCGACCGTGGGTGGGGGGCGCGGTCGTGGGTGGGGGGCGCGGCGGGGTGATTGGGGGGTGGTGTGGCAAGGGGCAAGGGGAGCGGTGGAAATGAGGGGGTGGGGGGCGGGGTGAATTGGGGGATGGTGGGGGCCAGGGTCGGGTCAACATTCATATCGGCAGGCGTGCCACGCGTGCAGGAAGTGTGGGGTCGAGGTTAGGGGTCGAGGCTAGGGTTCAGAGACGATGTTAGGAGACGAGGTTCGGGGTTCAAACAATGAGGAGTGGACGCATGTCCCAGGGCTATCCAACACGAGCTGGAAGCTACCGAACAAAGACGTTCAGGGCGCCACTGCGGTGTGAGGTCTTAACTCCCTCACCTGGTATGTAGGAGGGCGCGGGTTCGATCCCGACCCTGACGATGCCTGTTAATATTTGGAGTTTGCGTGCCTCTCCCTGTGGTCGCGTGGATTTTTCTCAGAGTCTTCTGATTTTTCCCTCCACATTTGGAATCAACACGCGTTTTCGAGTACTTGTCTGCAATACATTTCCACGTGATGAGCCACTTCTTTGAGCTATCATTTGTGGTCAGCTCTCGTCTGAAAAAGAGCTATACAGCTCGGTGGGCCTTACCTGCTAAAATAAAAAAATAAGTTTTGTTTTAGTCTGTTGTCTTAAGTGGCGGTCGCATGCTCCGTCATAACAGCTGCGGTGCATTCGTGCTGACGGCCAGCTGAGAAGTGCGCCGCACGTCTCCGCGACGTTGGGCGCCAGAACTACGGTATTGACCGTTCGCGCTGGAGAGTTTTCTCATCGACGAAGGTTTATGCCACGTGGGGTGCAACGCCGGGGACGCGCAGCAGCCGTTGACAGGCGGTACACTACGAGAACCGCTTGAGTCTCCGGGTTTGCGCGTTTGACTTCATGGGAGGCTTAATCGAGACGGGTCAACCAAGACCTCCACATCGTTCCTCACTGCCGACTTAAATCCCGATCCCCCTTCTGGGACCACGCTGTTCTCGCCATCCGAGAATCACGCTCGGACACGGAGGAACGCCGCTGGCAAGCAGTGGAACAACGTGGGCGTCCGGAATAAGCGCTCCTATCTAGACCCAAACATCGTCGCGTCTCCTCCTGTCGTTGAAATTCCTCCTCAAAGACACCGGCGGTGTGACCATCGACCGCACGGGAACATCCAGCAGGCCGATGCGCACACCTCCTCCATTAACGTCAAATTTAGTGATAAGCCACAGAAGTGAAATTGTGGCCATGCATCCCAAACTACGGACTACGTAGTAAACCCACGGTAGTCCTTAAACGGAGGAGGTACATCAAAACAATACTCTCTTTCTGTCTCTCCTCAAGCCTCTCGTCGTGGCCAGCAGACCTCGACATTGGCGTTTAGCTCCTGAACATATAGCTGCGACCATGCGCAAGAAAAGAGTGGCTGCTTTGAGAAGGTGCCGAGCGTCGTCTTTACCGACGCTCTTTGTCATCGTCGCTACACGAATGATGCCCGCGGCCATGCCGAGCGAGGGGAGTGAACGCGGCCGGAGAGACCGCGTGCTGCCCTTCGGGGCTGTGGAGGCGGCGTGCCAGCTTATTGGCGCCACTGGATGAGGTCACGTCCACAGTGCGTGCCCGGACTGCGCGTGTCTTGTTATCAGCAGCAATGTTGCTGGACACCCCGTGTTTTATTATTCGCATTGGCCCTAGACGCCGCCCGTATTGCTTTCCTCGTGTCCGGTTTATCCGCATTATAACTGCACAGTCAGTGTTCTATTATTTGCGCGTTCCTGGCCCGCGAGTACTATACTATTCTATTTCTGATTTATATAGTGCACTTTCTAGGGCGCTTTAAAATGCGAGCCGACAGCGTTCAGTGAGGGAGGTGATGGAATGGATGGAGGGACAGGGGCTGGGAATTGAGCCGATGTTGCTGGGGTAGATAAAGCAGAATAAGGTGGAGTGTGATTGTGAGTGAGGTTGTCTGATGGATGGAGCGTGAATGAGAGGCAGTGGGGTATATATGGGGCACGTGAGTGAAGTGGTAAAATGGGCATGGATGAGGGTAAGTGAAGAGTGGTAGGGGCAGAGGTCTAGTGGCCGGATAGTTGAGTTGATGGATGAGCACAGCGTAGGGCTGGGGGAGAGATATGGTTAGGTGCACTTCGGAAGCGATACGTCAGAGTACCTTATTATCTGCATGTCTCTAGTATCTGTAGTGTCACTGGACGTGGTTTGCTTTATTATCCGCTTGTCCTCGTATCCGCACTATCACTGGACATAGCTAGTCCTGTCATCCACACATCCATCGTATCTGCAGTGTCGTTGGACAGCGTGCTGCTGGACGTGAAGGAGCTGGAGGACGGTATGGAGGCGACGCGCAGGGAGCAGGAGGCCGCGGGGGAACACGCGATCATCCGCGACTTCCTCGCACAGAACTCGGAGATGCTGCGCCGGCTCCAGAGAGACGCGCACGCCGCACAGGTGCGGCCTGGCGTACATACAAGCTGCCTTCAGCAGGACGATTGCAGACATCAGGCTGTGTTCGGGGTACTGTAGCTGAGTGGAGTCTGCATAATCCACGAGAGTGCACGTGGTTGTACTGGGGTAGCTGAGTGGAGTAGTCTGCTAGTTCCACCAGAGAGCACGTGGTTGTATTTGGGTAGCTGAGTGGAGTAGTCTGCTAGTTCCACCAGAGTGTGCGTGGTTGTATTGTGGTAGCTGAGTGGAGTAGTCTGCTAGTTCCACCACAGTGTGCGTGGTTGTATTGGGGTAGCTGAGTGGAGTAATCTGCTAGTTCCACCAGAGTGCACGTATTGGGGTAGCTGAGTGGAGTAGTCTGGTAGTTCCACCAGAGCGCGCGTGTTTTTCTTGGGGTAGCTGAGTGGAGTAGTCCGCTAGTTCCACCAGAGTGCACATATTGGGGTAGCTGAGTGCACTTGGGTTGTATTGATTGGGCAGTAATGATGATTTGCACCTCACCACCGTATTCACAGTTCAGTGGAGTCCATGATGGCTCCATTTTTGGAGGAAATATCTCCCACACAACTTCTTCCTCCTACTCCTTATCCTCTACGTGATGCTGTGGTTGATGTGGTTGGGACGTGGTTGTTGAGAACGATCCCCACTTTCGTCGGGGCAGCAGAGAGAATAGTCAAACTCTCGTGATAACCCAGGTTATACGACTTGCGGGTTTATAAATGTCCTTGCAGTAATCCCTTGCCAACCGCCAAATTAACAAACCGCGAGATTTGAGTGTCCGCGAATTAACTTCTGTATACCTGCTTACCAACCGCGAGCATCTCGGTTTGGAGTCGTGATTCACGCCGAGTCGTGAAATAATCATTGGCACCGCCGCGTAGCATCCGCAACGTTGCCTCTCGGACTCCCTCGAGGAGACGCGGAGGAGACACCTCTGGGTCTGTAGCTACCCAATCCTCGTTCTGATCCACGTTGCTACCTACCTCCGCCACTGGTCAGATTCACGCTCCGTCTCACGAAATAATTGTATATTTCACGTTTTTGATTTGCGTAATCGCGTTTTGTGCGTGAATATCACGTTGCGTGCCACTCAAGAATACATATTTTTCATATTTGTTTTTCTAAATGGATTGATGTAACTTTCAAGTGTGCCCCCTCCCCCATCATCACCATCAAAGGTAAATGCAATTTAATTGACCGTACTTTTCTTAATTAAACGTCTCAAATGCCACGTAAATTATCTTTAGTTAGTGTTCACCGGTTAATTTAGTGAACGCAAAAATGATTTACATGGGATTTCATAAGTTCACTCGCGACCTCGGCTTCCCCTCGCCCAATTTTCCCCATAAGGTCTTAGGTGTACCAATCTGGGGGGGGTTTTCAGGAAGCTCATCCTCGCGGTTGGCAAGGGATTACTGTACTCACTCGCATTACGATGGCCTCTGCCTGTGATCTCTACTCAAGCCGTGTGTGTAGGTATTGGGGTAATGCATCTCAATATTTGTGTAATGAGGAGCGATGTGAACAATTTTCTTCTCTGACGGATTTTAATGTTAATAGAAACTGCATGCGTGGGCACGCACACGCACGCGTGTGTGTGCGTGTGTGTGTCATGGGGAGCGGTGGTGTAACGGTTAGCGCGCTGCCCTACAAAACCCGGTGACCCGAGTTCGATTCCTGCTCACGTCCAACACCATTGACGATTATCTGAACCGGTCCTGGGCCTCCCCTTGGTCGACTCAGCCTTTAATGAGTACCCGGTGCGGTGTGTAAACATCGCCACTCGGGAGACAAAGGCGGTCGGGAGTGGTGCTGGCCACCCACCCCCTCGTGTACCGTGCCGGTATTCATAGGTGCTCGCAAACCGCACTTGCCCCAAGTCTGTCAAGGCTATTAGGGGTATATTTGTCTTTGTGTGTGAGTGTGTGCAATGCCTGGGCACTTTTCAAGCCTCTCATCTCACTCTCGTCTCCTCCTCCTCCTCGCACTCGCCTACCTCTTTCCCCTCTCAGTTGATCCTACTCCTCTCCACATGCTGTGCTACCTGTCCCCTCATATTGTCACACTCTGCTGAATTCCTTTAGACCCAGAATGGAATTTGCTGCGGATACACATGGCACATGCTACATTGGCACATGCTACGTGGCACGTGGTGCCTGTGTAGCGCTTCCAAACTGTGGAACGTCGATGCACATTACATTATTTTGGAATGACTTTTTAAGCGAACTCGGGGGGGGTAGGGGGGGGGTACACACGCACACAAACGATAGACGTGAAGACTTCTCAAGGGGTGGATTCAATTTATTCTCTCGAACATTGCCGCGCGCAGCTTTCAGCCCACGTGCCAGAGCACGTGGGTCGTCCGCCATCGCTCCCGTCGATGACTGCCTTCACCATCGCCCCTGGTGATCAAAGTTTACATAAACACAAGTTGTTTCCCGCCAAAATACTATAGTCCCCTATTTATCCACTATGCACCGTAAAGATACAATGTCATTAACAGTATTAACCAATATTAATGTCTTTCGCTATGTTAAGTCTCATTTTAAAAATACTCAACATAATGGCCACCTTAGTGAACTAAGCTCTTTAACATTGACGTACGATTGCGATCAGATACAGTACCATAAATCGTTCTACGACAACCACATTAAAGCAAGATGCACTCTTCTGCTACTGACTCAACTATGAATATAAACACCACAGCCATCATAGTGGTAGGAACCTCCTGGTTACACCAGCACACAGCAGATTATTGCGTCCGTCCAAAAATGGGAGGGGTGGGGCTGGGTGGAGAGGGGAGGGTGGGGAGAGGCTGGGTGGGGAGGGTGGGGCTGGGTAGGGAAGGGAGGGTGGGGAGGGGCTGGGTGGGGAGGGGCTGGTCACCCCGTGGTGCCCTTATAAAACTCAACGTTTAACCTACTCACGCCGGCTTGTGCCCGCCCTCACAGTCGGGCATATTTGCGGAATACACCACGTGGTGCCGTTGACCCTGGCCATTGACCGAGCAACCCAACGTTCCTACCAGCTCCCTCCGCAGGAATGTGTTATCCATTCAGTTAAACCGTTGAGAACTCGTTTAAGGGTCTAGTCACAGCGAGCATAAGGTATTTATTAGTTATTGTGTCACTGGGAAACGTTTTACTGTAAGAATTTGCAGCATTAACTGACCATTGTCTATATAAAGCACGTCAATTATAGACTTTTAACTGTCTTCTGCACTGTTGACCAGAGCCATACAGCACTCACAAAGAAGTCTTTAGAATAATCTAAGCTCTAGCTTTGTTACAATTGATCCTGAAATGTACATGTTAAATTCCGTAATATGCTTTGAAAGACTTTGTAATTTCACGGACGCCATCTCGCTTCGAGCATGTTCAGACAACTGTTGACTTCTTTAGCAAATACCTCCCGCAATAACAGATTATAACATTCTTACCGATCTCTACACCACAGCTATCGTGTCTACGCTCGATGTTCCTTTTCAGTGACTCGAGGACACGTACCTTGACATAGGCAAATTCTGCTTGCCACATGGTACGTGGTTCATGTCACGTGGCACATGGTAAACAGCACAAGCCATGTCGTGGCACACAGTACATGGCACCTCCTGCTTGGCACGCGCTCCGTGACGCGTGTGCGACGTGCCGCCACACGGTACGTGGCGCCCGGCGGATGCGCACGGTGCCGCCTGTGCTTGCACGTGTCTCCGCGCGAGACAGGAGGCCTACTCCGCCGTGGTCGAGTACTACGGCGAGGAGCCCAAGAGCACGCCGCCCTCCGCCTTCTTCCCGCTCTTCGCGCGCTTCGTGTGCGCGTACAAGGTAACCCGCGGCCCCTCCACGCTCCTCTCCCCTTTATTTTGGGGGGATCGGCAAAGCGGGGTCGGGTGGGGGGTGGGGGGGCGGGGGACAGGTTGCAGGCGAGCAGCGCCGGCAGTCGGGACAGGGGGTCTGACGGGCCCCCCCCCCCCCCCCCGTGTCTGCGCGCCCCAGCAAGCGGACGCGGAGGACCAGGCGCGCGACAAGCAAGATCAGAGCGCCGGAGAGACGCGCGGGGCCGGGAGGGGCGCACGCGGAACCGACGATAGCGGCACCGGCGGCGGCGCGGTGAGATGAAGACGCGCGAGGCAAACACGCGCACACGGATAGACATACATACACACGCGCGCCTGCACACACGCACGCACCAAGACAAAGATCCGCCGTATATCCTTTAAACAGTCTGTGGAGACAGGTGATGTTAGTGAAGGCCGGCACGGTGCAGGACCCAGGTGGCGTACCCAGAGCCTCCAGTGCCGGATTATCCGCGTAGCAAAAGTAGCTACATATGCTACGGGCCCCGCACTTTCAAGGGCACTGCACTAAATGCTTCCAAGCATTTTTACGCTGCTCCATTACTATAGTACTATACCGCCTTCAACTTTTATGAACGACTGGGTGTTTAAGGCTAGCGATTTGTCGTATTATCTGGCTGTATAGCAAATGGAAAAATACAATTACTTTACTATGCTAGTTAAAAATTTGTGTTTTTCATATTTATGCCTTTTTTTTAGGGCCCCCTTATAACATATGCTACAGGCACCGCACTAGCTTCATCCGGCACTGAGAACCACGCGGGGCGCTTTTGTTTTCCGAGTGCCAACGTTCACATCGCAACCAGGTACTCATTTAGGGCTGAGTCAGCCTAAGGGTGGCCCAGGACCGGTTCAGACATTCGCCGCTGATATCTGTGGCCGGGTTCGTAGCGCAGCGCTGCTGACCCACTCCACTCACGCTCAGTAAGAGCCCACGTCCCCCGCTCACCTTCCCATCACCAGCCCGGCACGGGCACTGCGCATGGAAACGCGGTGCCCAAGCGCGCGGAGCTCGAACTCATTGCCGAGCTCAAGAGGAGGCAGCAGGCGAAGGAGCGCATCGTTTACGAGGGCAAAGACGGCGCCATCGAGGACATCATCACAGGTGCGTGCTGCCTTCGCCGTCGTCGTTACGACAATCATCATGCTCGTCATCATAACAAGCGCTAATGTCGAGGAGGGCTTCACCCAGCTTGACGCGCCAGTGAACCCAGTCGCCTTGAGCAGCAGCAGCAGCAGCAGGAGGAGGAGGAGGGAGGAGGGAGGAGGGTCTGGCGACCTTATGCGCCCTCTCGTTTTCCCAACCAGTAATTTGCATATAAGTTATTTTCAAGATATAAAATATAATTTCAGGTGCCCCCTCTCCAAAAAATGTATTTTATTAATTAAAAAAACACCTTGTGAAAGACCAAACGCAGAAGATCCATTGGTTTGATCTTCCACGAAGCTCATGGTCCACCCTAAACCGCATCCACTGCACAAACCATGGCAAGACGGCTTCTACTGGATGCACAAATGTAAAATTAAAAAAAACTCTCCAGTGTTGCGACTGTGGTCATCCAGACCAGACCGTACAAAAATAAAACGATGCAATTCCCGATTCACAAACACGAAGGAGACATCACAGCGATACGCTACTCGGCTTGCTCTTGACTCCGTTATTTAGGCTTGACCACCTGAATGTGAAATTGAAGTTGATGCTCTGCGCCTACATAAGCAGCTGTACGAAAGAAAAGATCCCCTGCTTATGTCTCCCCCCGTGGCCAACATCCGTGCCATAGAGCTCACCGCGCGCGGTGTATGCGCGCCTCCACCAGCCACTGGGTCTCCAGTGGATGGCTCTCGCCGTAGTTGAAAGGAAAATGACGATGGTGATGATGATGCAGCAGCGGTGATGCCATGGTGATGATGACGACGACGATGATGATCCAGTGATGATGGTGATGATGATGCAATGGGAATGATGATGATGATGACGACGACGATGATGCAGTGGTGATGGTGATGATGATGATGATGCAATGGGGATGATGATGGCCATGATGTAAACCGTTCCATCCACTGGTAGAGCGTGACGATGGGAGAACGCTATTTCGGAAGGAACGTCAAATTTAGCGAGAAACGATGTCTCGTTGAGAAATTATTCGCAGTCGTTGCGGTCGTAGTCTTTGTTGTCACCGTATTCGCATCGTGCGGTCGCGTGTTTAATTTATGATATAGCGAGCGGACACGTACGGGGAGGGGAAATGGGCAATTGCGTGCAGAGCGTCTCGTCTTCCAAGTCGCGTTTTAATAAACGCGCTATTTATAACTCCCTTCGAGCCCCACCTTGGCGGTTTCACGGTCTCCTCTGCCCGCCCACTGCCAGCGGGGCTGATGGCGCTTCTGATTGCCTCATTGTTTCCCCCCCTCTAATAACTGCCACCGCCGCCGCGTGTGTGACACCTATTTCTTCGCCCCCGCCCGCCCTCCCGCCTGCCACCACCAACCACCCCGTTTCCAAATGTCCTTCTCAACTCTCCTTCTGGCACACACGCGGGTGCGTGCGTGGGCGGCGTGCGCGGCGTCTGTGCGCGCGTTCTCGCGTGCGAGCGATTATGCGTGTGCGTGTCTACGTGTGTGTACGTGCGTCTGTGCGCGTGCGTCTGTGCACGTGTGTGTATGTATGTGTACGTGTCTGTGTGTGTGTGCGCACGGGTGCATGTTTATGTGTGTGTGTACGTGCGTGTGTACGTGTCTGTGTATGTGCGCACATGTGCATGTCCATGCGTGCGTGTGTTTACGTGCATCTACGTGTGTGTACGTGCATCTACGTGTGTGTACGTGCATCTACGTGTGTGCACGTGTGCGTGTGTACGTGCGTGTGTACGTGTGTGTGTGTACGTGTGCGTGTGTGTACGTGTGCGTGTGTGTACGTGTGCGTGTCTACGTGTGTGTGCGCGCACGTGCGCTCCTTGGCCCGTCCTCCTCCTGTCAGTGCTCAAGGCTGTCCCGTTCGCTGCTCGCACTGCCAAGCGCTCCTCGCGTCTGCTCTGCGATCTTCCGCTGCCCGAAGACCTCCTGGCGCCCAGCCTCGTACGCGCACGCGGCCGCTCCGCGCTCCTCTTAGCGCCGGACGCGACCCAACGCAACCCCGCAGCCTCCCGTTGACACGGCTGGGCCGTGAGCGCGTGCCCCGCGGCCTGCGGAGGCCTTCATCCAGCAATGGAGCGGTCGTGGTTGATGCACACGAAGCTCTTTTCTGTAGATAAGTGGTTCTGCTGGTGGGAAACGGGGGGTTAGGGGAATGGGCGCGGGGCAGATTACGGGCGGACTTTGCCGAATGCCCAGCAATGTCCATGATTGTTCATACCGATTGCTGTACAGGACAGTTCGTTATCTGTTTTAATAATAGTAATGCCGTCTATGCAGGGAAGCCTCGCTGAGTCTAGATACTCGTTTTTAGGAGGGTCCTGCGCTTGAGACGTTTGGCCAATCCCATTAACGAGGGGCGCCACAGTGGCTAGGAGATGTTAACTACTTCGCCTGGTATACAGGTCGTGAGTTCGATCCCGACCCTGACGATGCCTGTATATCTTAAGTTTGCGTGTCGCTCTCTCGTGACCCCGTGGTCACGTGCATTTTTCTCAGGGTCCTCCGGTTTCCCCCTCCACGTTCAGAAGCAACGTCACGCATTTAGAGTAATTGGCAGCTATACATTTCCACGTGACAAGCCACTTCGTTGAGCTATCAATTTGTGGCCAGGATCGTCTTCTGAAAAAAATAGCTGTACACTGTATAGCTCAATGGGCCTTACCTGTTAAAAAAAAGTAAAAAGTTCAATTTCTAATGCAATTTAGAACCACGACCGCTGTGCAATTTGATTCGAAGCTCGGATCTCAGTGGTCCTGGCTCAGTTCTCGAGCCCTTGAGCCACCGTCCAGTCGAGCCCTGTGCAGTCTCGCCGTGCTCGCGCGGACTCGGGAGGCGTGCTGACGGCGTGCCCCTCGGCTCGCGTGTCCCCGCAGACCTGAGGAGCCAGCCCTACCTCCGCGCCGACGCCGTGCGCAGGAGTTGGCGCAGGAAGGACGAGGATGGCGGTGGCGGCGCTGGTGGCGCCCGGGTGGCGTCGAGCCCCGAGGTGGTCGTCTAGCCGCGCCCGTCGGGACACGCCGGCCTTCCGCCTGCTTCACGCCGAGTTTGGCAGAGCGTGTGTCGCACAACGCAATGTGCCGGACGGGTCCCTTATGACAAAGCACCCTCCGGACGCGTTGTTGATCTCGCCCGTTCGTTCGTTCGTTCGTTCCCCGCATTAGCGGCGCGCGTTTCTTTGCACTCGGGACGGCCGTTGATCGTTTTATGGTAAAAAAATATTCATGTGGAGCACGCGGCTGGGCACGCCGCACTCTAGATTTCCCGCGGGCGTGGAAAGCTCCGTTCGGCTCGACTCTGCTCGCCTCGCGGCGGCGGCAGCAGCAGCAGCAGCCGTGCACGGAGCGCGCGGCGAGTTGGGATTTGAGAGCGCGACGCGAGAGCGGTGAGGGAGAACGACAGAGTCAACGGTGTGGGGGGTGACAAGTCCGGCTCCATGCGGGTGCCGTGCCGGTGGCGGCTGCCTCCCATCGCGGCGCGCGCGCTGCCCTGTAACGCACTTTTTATTAACGCACGTGGGTGAGACTGTTAATCTCTCCAAAGATTCTATAGAGACACTTGAACTCTTTATTTATACTTAAAGTATAATATATAATATATACGGCACATGTCAAGACTACGAAATCTCAGAGGTGCGTTCACGCATGCCACACAGTTATGACGCTCATCGAACTACGCTTCTGGAACGCCGCGCGTGCGCTGTGTGTCCTAAGAGAGGGGGGGGGGGAGCGTGGGGGCTGGAGATGGGGGGGGGGGGTGCTGTGGGTGCTCGTGCGAGAAGCTACGGGGTCGCTCGCTCTGCCCGCGCCGCATGATGGAGAGGCATGGGTCCGAATGAGACACGGGCGAGACGCGGGGGGCCACGAGGACACGGCGACGACGCGGAGACGGTGACGCGAGCTGACAGGGCCACCCTCGTGGCTCCCTGTTGCGAGAGGAGGCGGAGGCAGCGCGCGGCTCCGAGTTGAGCCGCGTGCCCCAGTCTCGCGTGAGAACCTGCGCAGGTGGAATGGAACAGAAACTGGATTGGGCTGGCAGCGGCTTCATTATCAACGCGAACTCGCGTAGCGGCCCATGGATTCACGGAGACCCAAATAGACACGCACACACACAGAACCACTGAAAATCGGAATGCCCCGGCCAGCGGCCTCCTCCAGCGGACGGGCGCTCGCCGCTCATGTCGCAACCCGGGGAGAACTGGACTGGTAGGAGCACGTGTCATCGTCATCATCATCATCAGTCGTCCTGGCTGCCTTCAGCTTCCAGTTCTGGACGAATCCACCACCTTGCACGCGTTGATCTGTAGAGAGTGAGGCTGGACATCTCGAGATGGGGTTCGCGTTCTCCCCAAAACCGGAGCCGTGAAGCCGTTGCCACGCATTGACTCGGCGCGTTACAATCGCGCCGGGCCGGGTTGGCTGTGCACGCGGCGCCATCTATCACGCGAGTTGGGAATATCCGGTCAACTCGAGGGGCGCCAGATTCACATCTTGGTGAATTCATTATTCGTCAGATTTTTGTGTTGTTTTTTTTTTCCCTCCCCGATGAAACGCCGCCCAATCGCCGTTCGCCAGGGTCGACGCGGTCCGTTTTTTGGTCGCCGTTTCCTCATCCACGGGGATCTGAGCCTAGCAATTCATCTGAAAGGGAGCGCGGCGCAGCCCGGCGTGTTGACCTGTCGATTAAAATATATTCCTACGCTCACGATAGCGTGCATACATAGTGCTTTCTGTGACTACTTACTATGCGTGCCGATTGTGCGCGGTTGTTCCGTCAGGAGGCAATGGGGCACACAATACCCTGGCTTGCTGTCCTTCCCCCGCACCTCCGATTAGCACGGTTGGCTACGTACGTTGCGAAAGAAGGTCAACATGCGCGCGCGCGCACACACACACGTACACACACAATACGGAGAGTACACGACAGGCAATGATAGCAGCTTGAGACTGCAACGGGTTGACGTGCCGCTTGTTGGAGAAAAGAGAACACCCAACCACCTGGGCCGGTTCTAGATTTGAAGCTTTCGTGACTGCAAGGATCCATACTCTTTGGTTCTATTCGGTAAAGTCACGTAGGTAAAAAAAAATGAAACAACAAAAATCACGACGTTTCAGCCACAACACAAGCGGTCTTCATCAGGTGAAGGGACCAGCCTGTCTCGAAGACTGCGCTGGAGTGAAAGAGCCAAGCTCAGACTGTGTGAGAGGGATTAAGGTGCCTTGACAAAGGAATTAGCGTAAAAATTAGCATTTGATTGGCCGACTTAGCATGATGAAAGGTGTAGCACACGGCAGTGCACCTTTAAGCTGTGTGAGAGGGATTAAGGTGCCTTGACAAAGGATGATCACTGTTACAACGCTGTGGGTGATCGCGATATAATTTTCTCCGATACCAAGGTTCTTTGCAAACCCACAGGTTTTTATCAGAGATTTGTTCACGAGGCAATTCAGATCTACAAACACAGACACAATTTCAACCGAGAAGATGGTTTCAAATTAAGCAACCATTGGAAAGATGTTCTAAATCGAACTAAACATTAAACTACTTTTCATTGGTACAGTATATTTTTTCAAGTAGTGGTACCCCAAACTTTCGCAGCACATGCTGGTGCACTGCCGGTGCCGATCACTATGCTACACCTTTCATCATGATAAGTCCGCCAATCAAATGCTAATTTTTACGCTAATTCCTTTGTCAAGGCACCTTAATCCCTCTCACACAGCTTAAAGGTGCACTGCCGCGTGCTACACCTTTCATCATGCTAAGTCCGCCAATCAAATGCTAATTTTTTATGCTAATTCCTTTGTCGAGGCACCTTAATCCCTCTCACACAGCTTAAAGGTTGCAGTCTGAGCTTGGCTCTGTTTCACTCCAGCGCAGTCTTCGAGACAGGCGGGTCCCTTCACCTGATGAAGGCAGCTTGTGTTGTGGCCGAAACGTCGTGATTTTTGTTGTTTTTTTTTTACCTACGTGACTTTACCGAATAGAACCAAAGAGTATGCACCTGGGCCGGATCATGGTCCCGTGAGGCCCCTGGTCACGTGTCTTTTGGAGCCCCCCCCCCACCCCGCTTTCCTATATTGGTGTCTTTCTTGCCTTCATCCTCCAAAATGATCCACTAGTCTAAATCTAGCTGTTTGACAAGGTCTGACTCTATTGACATAAGTGACAATGAGCTGAGACGCGTTTGGCACACGCCACTCCGTAGCTCACTTTTTATTCTGCCTAAAAAGGAAAATGTCTGCTCACCCTGGAAGTTTGTCACTGGCAAAGTTGGAAAAATCCGAAGTGACACGAAAACATTGGGGAAGACTGACTGCAAATTAAGTGCCTGCAACGTCTCAAGCAATTTAGTTGGGCACTTCTCACTCTCAGAGTCAGACATGACAGACTTGAATTGTATGAGTTCGTTGGCAAAGTTCACGTCCAGGTCTGATGGATATGCAGCGGAGAGTGCATTTACCTTTACCACGATGGCATCACTGTTAGACACCTGATCTGACATAAACAGAACTCCAAAGGGACTGATCAAACGCTTGTAAGCGTCCAAGCGATGTTCAAGGCATGCCACTTGCTTCTCATTGACCACATAAAATGTTTCTATTTTAAACTTCTCCCTCCTCTCAAGTGTCACACCTGGCTCTGAGCTCTCATCTGCAAATGTTTTGTGTTTCCTCTTTCGCTGAAGATCGTGCTTATTTTACTGAGAGACACCTGTCACATTTAAGGCTGCCCTTTCAAAAGCCTCAAACTGGTCTCGCTGTCCCGCCACAAAATCCCTCAACGAAGACAAAAGCTGTGCTGCTACAGAGATGTCAATGCCACTTTTCTGTAGGTACATGCTTGCAGTATGGAACCGGTCAAGTATGATGTCTCAGAAATGTGCCATGAACACCATCTCTAAGGTGTCCAATTTAGCACATAGTCCAGTGGTCTCAATTCGAGTATCTCTTTTCTCATTATCATCATTGCACATACCACCCAAGGCCTCTCTAATGTGGGTGTAATTTCTCCACAGTGCCTTGGTTGACTCTGCCCGAGCGCTCCACCGAGTACTGGACAGCGATATTAATGTCAGTCTGGCGTCTGTCTTCTGAAAGACTTTCCCCCATCTGTGTGTGGATGAAGAGTAAAATGTGTACAGTGACTGCAACACGTTAAAAAACTCGTCAGCCTCAGGGCTACTGCCGTCTAAGGTGTTAACACCAACTAAGTTAAGTGAATGTGCTGCGCAAGGCACATACTAAATTTCGATTTAAAGCTTTCGTGACTGCAATGATTCATCTTCTTTGGTTCTTTCGGTAAAGTCACGTAGAAACGTCGTGAGAATATTATTGTGTTATTTTATTTTATCAATGTATTATTTTATTCTCATTCTACGTGACTTTACCGAAAGAACCAAAGAAGAAGGCACATACTCTATCAAAGGTTTTTTTTTTGTTTCAGGTGGGCCTGTAGCC